ACAACTTGCCTCCAGGAGGTAACAGACGTAGAGGGTTCAGGCCAGCTCTGGCCCACAGCCCTCACATTGCCTACCGGCACCTGCTTACTTTTCAAGTCAACCCAAGCCAGACACATCACACAGTGTCTATGGTGAGTCCCACTGCCACACAGCTGCCTTCTAGAGGTTTTCGTGGGATGTTTAGAATTGGATTTTAGTGAGGCCCTTGAAATTTCCGAGGAGAGAGTCTCCAGCTGGATTTCAAATCCTGTTTGGGGGAGTTTGGGGGGTGGCCAAGGATAGGAACTCCCTAGTTTCCTACTGGGCATCTCTACTTGGACGTCCTAGAGACCCCTTCAAGTCCCAAACTGGGACGTTCCCTCCCCTCCACGAGTCCGTTCTTCACTCTCTTCCCCTGTCAGTTTTTGCCTGAACTTTTAACCTGGGAGTCCTTCTAGACTGGTGCTGTCCAACAGCACGCCCTAGGAGGTGGGAAACCCGCATCTGCAACCGGTTGTTAGGATAGGTCTTTCCCCTCTGTGCTATTGAGCGCTTGAAATGTGGCCAGTGCAGCCGAGGGACCAAACGTTTGAGTTCAATAAACTTAAGTAGCTCCACATGTGCCTATAGACAACACAGTCTATAATCTGGCCCCGTCCCTCATCCAGTCAGTTACCAAGCCAAGTGGGTCAATCAGGGAGGACTTTCCAGAAGACACGTATGTGGGAGGACACAGCAGAGACGGGGTAGTGCCTAGATGAGGTGGAAGGAGCCGGGGCACCAGAGGCTGGGGAATGTGAACGAGCAAACAAGCTAGGGGTGCAGACAGCCCAAGAGCAGATGGGGTGGTGAGACCCTGACGCCCACCCTGATTCCGGAGCTTGGACCTTGGGGCAGCTGGGAGATGCTCTCCCTTTCTGAGCAGAAGAATAAAATCACAATGAACTGTGCATTCCAAAGACCCTTTGGCCGTGCATAGGGTTGGGGAAGGGACACTCTGGTGGGGGAAAACTGCTCTCATGGGACCAAGAGGACAGTGTTTTTTGTCAGGCCTGCTCAGGAAAATCTGGGAGGTGTGCATGCGCTTTGCTCCTGCAAAGTCCCCCACCCCTCCCCATGCCCAGAGTGGTCTACCTCCCTCATTGCCTGACCTCTATCCTTCATTCACCTGCAGCATCTGACCTCCACTGCGCATCCAAGGCAGCAGGGAGGCTCTGGGTCTCAGGACAGAAGTCAGGGGTGGAGGCAAGAAAGCCACAAGCAAGTGCAGTGGCCGTGTGGCACTTCCTGTGGATCTGGAGCTGCCATAGCTCCAACCAGGAGTGAAAGGCCTCTCCAGATGCCTCCACATGGGGATTACCCCCAGCAGCCCTGCTTTATTTGGCAAGTAGCAGAGCTGGGGTGGGAGAGGGGGTGGGAAGCTGTCCTTACCAGGTACCTCTTCTCCCTGCACCGCATAACCCCACAAAGCCAGGGTGGAAGCCACCTCTTCCGGAGATGGTCTGCTCTGTCCCCGCCAGCTTCCCGCTCCCCTGGACTCTCCAGACCCAGGGCCAGGGGCACTGGGTTGGCAGCAGAGGACCCTCAGGGACATGCATGACAAGACTCTGACCTGCAGCCCCCCTAAAAACTACTTCCCTGGGGTGCCTGGGTGGTTTAGTCCATTACGTGGTTAAGCATCTGACTCTTGATTTCACCTCAGGTCATTATCTCACTGTCATGAGATTGAGCCCCACATTGGGTTCCGGGTTAAGTGTGGAGCTCGCATGGGATTCTCTTCCTCCCTCAAAATAAATAAATAAACATTAAAAAAAAGATTTTAAGTAATAAATTAAATAGAAACTACTCCCCTGCCCTGCACACACACACACCTCCCACCCCCGCCCCACTTATTAGCTCTGCAGCCCAAAAGGCTACCAGGCTGTTCACAGGCACCGGAGGGCAACCTCCTAAAAGACAGGGGCCCAGATGCTTTTTCTTTCCCTCTCTCCCTACCTTTTTAAAAATCATCTCGGGGCGCCTGGGTGGCTTAGTAGGTTGAGCGTCCGACTTC